GGAGGAGGAGGGAGAAGATAGAAAAAGAGGAGAGAAGAAGGAGAGAAAGATGAAGAGGTTGTTATTGTCATTGTCTCTGAATTGTGGCCTGTTTTCCCACACCTTTACAGAAACTGAACTCCTTTTCCTTGTTCTGTTGTCATAACCTCAGTCTACATTGCTCTGAGAACCGGGGGATTTCCCACAGCATTCTTTGTCCTCTCTGCCTGACTCATCCCCGTGTCGATCCCGACAATTTCACCTGGACTGGTTTTGCAGGAAAAACACCCCTCCGTGAGGGCTAAAGAGGGCGGCTGGAGGGAGCCCGTCTTCCCCCACTCCCCTTCTCCTCCTGGGGCAGAAGCTTCAGCAAAACACTCCGGGTGGTGCCGGGTTTGGAGCAGAAAAGGGGAGGCAGGAAATCTGTACGCTTGCAGAGGCATTTTGCCACGCAAGTCCTGAGTTCGGAAGAGCATCTTAAACACAGGGCTACCTCCCAATAAATGGGTGACTGTGGGAAAATCAGCCTGAAAGCCAACACAGTTATCATTCTGCCCCTGGGGAAAGCCCAGGCATCTGATCAATTATTACCCGTTGCCATTTCTTCCTAAAAAAGTAAAAGATGTAAAAAAGATGTTGAGACTCTAGAAAGAGTACAGAGAAGAGCAACAAAGATGATTAGGGGACTGGAGGCTAAAACATACGAGGAACGGCTGCTGGAATTGGGGATGTCTAGTTTAAGGAAGAGAAGGACGAGGGGGGACAGGATAGCAGTCTTCCAGTATCTCAGGGGCTGCCACAAAGAAGGGGGAGTCAAGATATTCTCCAAAGCGCCTGAAGGCAGGACGAGAAGCAATGAATGGAAACTAATCAAGGAGAGAAGCAACCTAGAACTAAGGACAGTGAGAACAATTAACCAGTGGAACAACCTGCCTCCAGAAGCGGTGAATGCTCCAACACTGGAAGTTTTTAAGAAGAGACTGGACAGCCATTTGTCTGAAATGGTATCGGGTTTCCTGCCTGAGCAGGGGGTTGGACTAGATGACCTCCAAGGTCCCTTCCAACTTTATTATTATTATTAACAACCTGCCTCCAGAAGCGGTGGATGCTCCAACACTGGAAGTTTTTAAGAAGAGACTGGACAGCCATTTGTCTGAAATGGTATTGGGTTTCCTGCCTGAGCAGGGGGTTGGACTAGATGACCTTCAAGGTCCCTTCCAACTTTTTTATTATTATTATTATTATTATTATTATTATTATTATTATTATCATCATCATCATCATCATCATCATCATCATCATCATCATCATCATCATCATCATCATTATTATTATTATTATTATTATTATTATTATTATTATTATTATTATTATTATTATTATTATTATTATTATAAAAGAGGTTCTTCTGCACCCATTTAGACCAGGGGTGTCCAACTTTGGCACCTTTAAGGCCTGTGGACTTCAACTCCCAGAATTCCCCAGCCACGCCGTCATGCTGGGGAATGCAGTTATGCTGACTGGGGCATTCTGGGAGTTGAAGTCCAGCAGCCTTAACGTTGCCAAGGGTGGACACCTCTGCTTCAGACTCTTCCCCTTGCATTCATCCTTCTGCACACACAAATGCAAACACACTTAATTTGTTCGGTTTTGGGTGGGGAGTCCTTCTAATGGGACCCCCTCCTTGAAAATCAGCCTTCAGCCCCCTTGCAAAATTGCTGGAGAAGGAAAAAACAGGCTTTTGCAGACCCTTGAAGGATTTGTGGTTGGTAAACTCCAGGGGGGGGGGTACAAAGTCCTTTAGGAGATGGAAATTTTTCAAACCAGGGAATTAACTCTAAAAGTGTTGACTTCAGACACAAGGATTCAGTCAACAATCGTCAAAACCCCGAGAATCTCTGCAAAGCATTGCTTGAGAGCGACCGGTTTTTTAACTAAAAACAAGAGGGGTGGGGAGTGTTGTGTGAGAAAATGTCACAGTATGAGTTTTTCCTTAAATCCTGCCCAACCTCTCTGGGGGATGGACCATTTTACAGGAGTCCTCACCTTACGACTATATCTGGCATCAGAACGTCCATCGCTAAGCAAAGTGATTGTTAAATGATTCACGTCCGATTTTAGGATATATATAAGTATATATATATATATATATAAGTATCCGAATTTTGATTGTGTAACCACGGGGATGTCATACCATTTGTAAGAGTGAGGACCGATTGTAAGCGACCTTTTTTTTTTTTTAGTGCTGTTGTAACTCTGAACAGTCACTAAACCGTAGTTGTAAGTGCTCAACTCGTGGCCAAAATTCAAAATCAAAGTCACGGGAAGTATTAGTACCGCTTTACAAAAACCTAGTGAGGCCACACCTGGAACGCTGCACCCAGTTTTGGGTCACCCCCTTTACAAAAATGATGTTGAGACTTTGGGAAAAGTGCAAAGAAGAGCAACTAGGAGGATTAAAGGGCTGGAGACTAAAACGCACGAAGAACGGCTGCAGGAATTGGGTTTTGATATTTCAAAGGGCGTCTGATTTTTTTTTCTTTTTCCTGCAAACAGGGAGAGTTGCCTTTGAATGCCATCCAAGTCCAATTTGAGGAAAAAGAGAAGACTGCTTTTCTAATAGAAGGTGGGTCCTTTGCTTGCATGTACACGTTTTGTGTGTGTACGTGTGTGTGTGTTTAGATATCAAGAGAAAGAGATTACAGGTAGCTCCCCACTTGCAGTTGGGACGAGAACTTCCATTGCTAAGCAAGGAGATTGTTAAAAGTAAGTCGGCGCAACTAACTTTTTTGTGCCACGGATTGAATCCCTGCTGTCCTTAAATGAACCACGTGGTCGTTAAATGAATCCAGCTTCCCTTATTGACTTAAGCTTGTGGGCTTAAGAAGCGGGCGCAAAAGGCATCTGAGCACCTGCTCTGTCAGGGGGAGACGCTGAATCCATCCACGGACATCCCTCCGTTAGAAAGAGACGAGGAATGGGGGATTCTGAAGGATCCACATGAGATTCCGAAGGATCCCTTCCTGTTGAGAGATCCGAATCAAAAACCTCCCGTTTTGTTCCGAACAAGAGGTGACCTCTTGTTTCTTACAGGCCGGCTGATCAACTCCATCCGGGTGATTTGTTCCAGCTACGAAGATTACCAAGAGTGGCTCTATTGTCTTAAAACTGCTCAGTTCCGCCACGCAGATTCCTCCCTCTCTGGATCGGACAGTTTCTCCGGGTTAAAGCCTTCTCACCTGGCGCAGGTAGGGCGCTGTTTCCTGTCTAGCTTACAACACAATTCTGCATTATGCGTAGGAGGAGAATGATTCTTTGTTCCCTTGCTTAAATCCTCTTCCTAGCCTAACTCCGTCCAATAGAGTTGGCCAAGCCAAGGCCCCTTAACCCAGACAGGACTAAGAACACACCACAATGGCAGCATTCATTTGGCACAGGATGCTTCACAAATACACCTAGTATGTGGGTTGGACACTAAAAACACTTCAAAGCTCCGTTGAGGTTAATTCCCAACAGAAGGAGGAAAATCACTTTGGCCTATCGTGCAGGTGGGCTGGGAGGCTTCTGAAAAGAATATCGAAGGTGTTCTTAGATTCGGCCTCTTGAAATTGCTGGTATATTGTGCCTGTGAGCCCTTTGGAGTAGGCCAGATCAAGGAACAAGCACTTAAAAGGGATCTGGATAACCGGGCTGAGCCCAAGGGAGGGAGGCGTCAAAGGCGTCATCAGTCATGAGTCCCTGCGTGCCCACAAGAGATCTAACTCCAGCCCACCTTGAATTCCTTCTACTCTTCTCTCCCGCTAATTTCCCTTGTACAGCTCTTGTAAAGAGCTCCAGCTTGCAATAAATCTTTACACCCATTTGAGCTGCTTGGATCTCCCGATTTCCCTGGTGCTTGACAGGATCTTGGGAATGTGACTTTCTTGGTGTATTAGAATCTTGAATGCGTTTCTCTCTACTCCGTCTTATACCTAGCAAAATCAAGCTGGGCTATTCATGAGTTTCTTTCTCACCTTTTCCTCTTTCTCAGGACAGCTAGTCCCCAACTTATCACCACGGTTGAGCCCAGATTTTCTGTCGCTGCAAAGTGAGGCATTTGTTAAGCGGGTTTAGCCCCGTTTTACGACCTTTCCTGCTACCGTTGCTAAGTAAATCGCTGCAGCTGTTAAGTTAGTAACACGGTTGTTAAGTAAATCTGGCTTCCCCATGGACTTTGTCTGAAAGTGGCCAAAGGGGATGACGTGACCCCCAGGACACTGCGACCGTCGTAAATATGAACCAGTTGCCAAGCGTCTGAATTTTGATCACGTGACCATGGGGATGCAAAAGTTGTTAAGTGTGACAAAGGGGTCATAAGTCACTTTTTTCAGTGCTCTTGTAACTTCGAACAATCACTAAATGAAAAGTTGTAAGTCGAAAGCTACCTGGACTGTAAATAATATTTTTTTTAAATACATTTCTGAGTGGTCTCCCATCCATGCTCCCACGAGGACCCAGCCCGCTTCCCCAGACCAGCCAGGTTGTTACATTCACTTCTTCAATGAAGTCAGTCCGCATTTAATCCCTTGCATCCTAGTTCCTAGCCAGTTTTGCAAACAAGATTAGGAACTCTGTCACGCTCCAAAGTCTGTTTCCTTTCGCCCATCTAAAAATCTTAACTCAATTCCGAAATTCATCCTCTTTTTCAGTTGCCGTTGTGACTTTAGTCAGTAAAGGAACGGTTGTAAATCATACTGTAATCTCTTCGGAAACCGACCCCTTAACTTTTCGCTCTTCTCCCCCCCCCTTCCAAGGCCAGGACTGCATTCTTTCCCCCATGCCAATCGTTCAGTGTATTTGATCTTCTCTTGCCCGCCCCAAATTCCGTACATTTTAATTTCTTGGTTGGTTTAGTTTTCAGGAAGCGGAAGAGGGTCACTCACCTCGGAGGGCAGAACGAATTCCTGGGCGTCTGCCGGGAAGGGGGCGACGTCCACCCACCACTCCCAAACCAGTACGGCTTCTCTGTCCGAGAGACACTTGTTTGATGTGGTACCCGAGAACCGGTTAGCTGAAAACCATCTGCCGCAACCAGCCTGCGTAAGTTGGAGGTTCGAAATAATGGGTGGTGGGCTTCAAGCAGCAGTACCAACCTCGTAGGGGCCTGTGGGAAGAAGAAGAAAAAAAAGGCAAGTTGACTTGAAAGATCTGGAAAGGCTGGCGTTCCTTGGGTGATCCTGGTCTTCCAGTTAGAGCCCATCCGAGATGGCCTTCAGAAGTTGTGGGAGCTTCATTGCTGGACGTTTTCGAGAAGAGACTGGACTGCCCTCCGTCAGAAATGGTGTGGGGTCCCCTGCTTGGGTGGGGGTGGGGGTTGGACTAGATGACCCACAAGGTCCCTTCCAACTCTGTTATTCTGTTATTCCTTTGTAGGCCCCGTTAAGAGTTCCTCTTCAAAGGTTTTGAGCACAGCTGCTAAATAAGGATTGTGTTGCTGGAATATGGATTGGCCCGGTCCATAGGAAACCTTTAGTTTTATGTTGAGTTCACAGGATTCCAGTTATTAATAGAACAGAATATTTATAGCTCTGAGCTGAACTGTGGAGTCCTTGGTCCTCTCTGAGCTTGCTTGTTTTCTTACAGACCTTTCATTACCCAACTTGGTAACTTCATCAGTGCTAGAAGGGAGTGGGGTTTGTGGAGTGGGGGAGAAAAGCAGGAGGAGGAGAAAGAGGACTGAGGGGTCCTTGATGGTCTCAGAGCTTGGTGGTCTTCTTGCAGACGTTTCATTACCAAGCTAGGTAACTTCATCAGTGGCTTGTATATGAACAGAGAGCAAACCTCACTCCCTTCTAGCATTGATGATGTTACCTAGTTGGGTCATGAAACGTCTGCAAGAAAGCCACCAAGCTCAGAGAGCACCAAGGACCCCATAATCCTCTTCTTCCTCCTCCTCCACTCTGTAAACCCCACTCCCTTCTAGCACTGAGGATGTTACCTAGTTGGGTCATGAAACGTCTGCAAGAAGACCACCCAGCTCAGAGAGCACCAAGGACCCCATAATCCTCTTCTTCTTCCTCCTCCTCCTCCATTCTGCAAACCCCACTCCCTTCTAGCACTGAGGATGTTATCTAGTTGGGTCATGAAACGTCTGCAAGAAATCCACCAAGCTCAGAGAGCGTCACAGACCCCACATTCCAGTTATTTTCTACTCGCCAACTAAAATTGGCTGGAGAGCCTAAGAATAAAGTCCATTTATCCAGAGGGCACCAATCAACTCCTCAGCTTCTCCATTAACTTTGGGGAATTAAATGTCCACACCTATGGAGAGGGACCAGATTGGGAGAAGCTGGCCCAAAGGCCCGTCTGACTGAACGTTCCTTAGAACTGGTGCTCTCGTGACCTAGTTGGATGGTCTTCTTGCGGACGTTTCATTACCCAACTAGGTAATAGCATCCATGCTGGAAGGGAGTGTCCTTTGCTCTCTGTTCATATCCAAGTCCCTGGCGAGGTTAACTAGTTTGGTAACGAAACGTCTGCGAGAAAACCACCAAGCTCGGAGAGGTTTTTTGTCCCCTTTTTGCATGCCATGTGATTTTTCTGCTCGGGGATTCCTAAACGGTGCCTCTTCTTGTTGCAGTGCCTGGGAAAGCGAGCCCCGGCAGGGACAGGAATGCCGAAAGCCGAGCTGAAACGAAAAGGCAGTTCTCGAAAGTCCAAAGGGAAGGGCGTCCCGCCGCCACCGCCGCCGCAGCAGCCCCAGGGCCCCGGCGAGAACGCCGACAAGAAAGGCCCCTTCCCACTCGTCCCGAAGCACCCCCGTGGCGAGGGCGTCTCTCCCGTGTACAATGAGCCCTTCTCAGCACTGGCGCAACAGGAGCATCCCGCCGTGCGCCCGCTGCACCTGGACTTGAACCATGTACGAGCTGAGAATAATCTCGGAATTTGGGAAGAAGGCAGAGCTCTGGAATCGAAGCCCTGCCTGGGGGGGGGGGGGCAAGCCTCCCTGCCTGGGATTGAGGAGCATCTGGAAGGGCCCTGCAGGTGCCCTTCCCAGGAAATCCACAGCTGGATTTCTCACCCAAATTGACTTTTTTGTCCCCCCTCTGCAGCCGAAGCAGTGGAACGTGCCAAGGAGTCAGACCTGCCCTGCTCCCCAAACGCTGGAATACGCCTCTCTCGCGTCTTCCCCCATGTATGCCGACCCCTACACCCCCAGTTCCCCCTCCTCGCACGGGGCAGCAGCCTCCTACTTCCTGGGAGAGGTGAGTGGGGCCAGGGGCATACAGGGAGGGTCCCAGAGCAATTGTACAGGTAGTCCTCGATTTACGACAGTTCATTCGAAGTTACAACGGCACTGAAAAAAGCGATGTACGTCTGTTTTTCACGCTTACATCTGTTGTGGCATCCCCAGGGTCACGTGATCAACGTTCAGATGCTTGGCAACTGGCCTGTACTTAGGACTGTTGCAGTCTCCCGGGGGTCACGCGATCCCCTTTTGCGACCTTCAGGCAAGCCGAGCCAACGGGGGAAGCCGGGTTCATTTAACAGCCACGTCACTAACTGAACAACTGCAGTGATCCACTTAACCACCGTGGCTGGAAAGTTTATAAAATGGGGCTAAACTCGCTTCACAAATGTCTCGCTTACCGACA